GCGGCCTACACGAAGGTGTGGGAGCCAAGGAGGCTGGTGAAATCCAGAACCCTCTCTGCCCGCACCCGGTGTCTCTGTGGCTGCCACTGCTTGGACGAAGGGGGTGCCTTTTCCCAACTCGTACAAAGGCAATGTGCGGCTTAATTATATGCCAGGACAGGTGGGGGCGTAGATGCCCCTTGGAAGGTGGAAGGATGCCCCCCCCCACGGTTCCTGGCCTCTCACCTGCTTGCTTTTTGGTCCCCCCCCCAACCCCCGCAGGTGCAGAAATACAAGGTGCGCTGCCCAGCCGAGCTGGGGGAGCTCTTGCTGCTACGTCTGTACAAGGAACGCTATGCTTTCTTCCCCAAGGATTCTTGGTACTGCAGCTTCATTTGTGTCAAGGCCCCCGATGGCACCTGCACCCAGTTCCCCTGCTATCAGTGGATTGAGGGCTATTGCACCATAGAGCTGCGACCAGGAACAGGTGGGCCAGAGGCAGGGGCTGGCCGCTGTCTGTTGGGATTAGGGGTGGGCATGGGGCGCCTGGGTAGCTCAGATCCCACGGTTTGTGGGTTCAAGCTCCACGTCGGGCTCTGTGCTGACAGCTCGGAGCTTGGAGCCTGCTTCGGATTCTGCGTCTGCCTCTCTCTCTGTCCCTCCCCTGATCCTGCTCTGTCTCTCTCTCCAAAGTAAATAAACATTAAAAAAAAAAAAATGGAATGACGGGTGGGGTTTCACAAAACCCAGGTTGTAGGGAACAGGGGTGGGGTTAGGGTACCTAGAACTCAGAACTCCCCAGTAAATGCTTCCTGAAAAAAGTGAGCCTTTAGAACCCTGAATTTCTGGGCAATATTCACACACAGTCTCCACACTCATACTTCTCCTAGACACACACACACACACACACACACACACACACACACACACACAGAGTCCCTCTGTGCTTCCCCAGAGTGAATCCCTCTGGTGCCCACCGTGGGGTCAGACCACAGTCAACTGAGTCAACAGGTGTGGAAGGCCTGAATAATGAGCTGGAAAGGCCCTGGCAACTACTACTGGCTTTTCTGGTGTGGACGAAGTCCCTGTGGGTGCTGTTAGGATTCCTTCTTGCCTTTGGGTGGGGAGGGCTTCCAAGGATGCCCAGCTCGAGCTCCTTCAGGTTCTGGACCCCCAGATCTCCTGAGCTGTCTGAGATCACTGAGAGGCAAGACCAGGGCTGGTCCGGGTGTTAACGTGTTAGAGATGAGAGGTGATGTTCCAGGTCAAGATAAAGCGGGGGGTCTTTACTTACCCCCCTCCGCCCCCTAGTGGGTTCTTCATAGACGTCTAAATGCCCATCTATCGTCATAATACATCCATCTGCCCATCGCTTCCCCAAATATATCCGTTTATCAGTCATTTGTCAAGTGCATGTTACATGCACGGCGTGGGGGCACACGCTAGATGCTGGGAACACAAAACACGACTGCAAGGTAATTTCTGCCCCCAAAGACTCTTGGGAAAGAGATAAACATACAGGCGATTAGGTTGATTGTTACAATTTCGGGGTGAGGTTGTCCTGAGTCCCTTCTGCCGATGAACACAAAAGAACGTGGGGTATCTATGTTGCTGAGAGGGATTGGGTTCAAGGGTTAGGGGGTTCAAGCAAGCTTCGCTGGAGGAGGTGTTGTTTGAAAAGAGGCTCATGGGACGAGGGATTTTCATTCCCCACAGCCACAACTATTTGTCAGGACTCCCTGCCCCTCCTTCTGGATCACAGGAGACGGGAACTCCAGAGTCGACAGGAATGCTACCGGTGAGCCTGCCTAATTCGACTTCTTTCCCCCATCTTTACTGTCCCCTCTCAGCCTTAATCAGGCTACTACTCACTCTGACCTCAGATCCAATCAGGAGGCTTCATCTGAACCTCACCTCAGTCTGAGGTTGACTCACACCAGTACCTATAATTCGCAGTGAATCCACACTCAACCCACAGATACCCTGGATGTCACCCAGATGTCAGACACGACCCTGGTATTGCCCGGGCTCAGCCCAGCTTCAGCCTCCTGCCCCCCTTCTCCCCCACCCCAAAGCGGCCACGATCTCCATCTGAATGCAAACCCAGCTCCAAACCAGTCTGGACATTCACGTTGTCCCCAAATGCCTCTCTGACCCGCAGCCCAGTGACTTCAGGGAGGAAATTCCAATTCTTTGTCACCTACCCAGAAAGTGGGTGGTTTCTGGGAGTTTTAAAGTCACGTCTTTAAAATCTAAAGAAGGTTATGTTTATTCTCAGTCGGACCTCTGACCCCTTTCTTTCCCTTGGAAGCTGGAAGGTCTATGCCCCTGGCTTCCCTGGCATCATAGACGTCAGCAACTTCGAGGAGATGGAAACAGACAAGAAATTTGCCCTGACCAAGACGGCACCTTGCACAGACCAAGGGGACAGGTGACAGGGGAGCCCAGGCTTGGGAGGAAGGTGAAGGGCGTGACCTGAAGGTTGGGACGATGGGGCCCGGGCAGCCAGGAGAGAGGACAACTAGGGTTTAATCCAGGAGTCAGGACAGAAGGGGCAGAGGTGACCCCAAGGGTCTGGCGGGGAGGTGGCTTCAGGCCAGAGCGGAGGGGGCTGGGCAGGGGTCCAGAGCAAGGCAAGGGCAGAGGGAGGGAATTAAGGGGCGTGGGCTGCAGGTCCGTCTGACTGGTGTCTGTCTTTCTGCCCACCCCCCCCACAGCAGCGGGAATCAGTACCTGCCTGGCTTCCCCATGAAAATTGACTTCCCGTCCCTGCTGCACATGGACCCCAATATTCGCTACTCGGCCACCAAGACGGTCTCCCTGCTCTTCAACGCCATCCCTGCGTGAGGCCACTGCCCTCCCTGCACTCCTGCTCAGTCTGCCTTCTGCCTCCGCTCCTCCCGTGTCCTCCTTCCGTGTCCCCTCTGCACATCTCTGTCCCCATGTCTCCTCCCTATCCTCATCTCCCCCTCTCTGTCCTCATTCTACCCTCTGTCCCCATGTCCCCCTCTCTGTCCCTGTGACCATATCTGTGTCCCTATGTCCCCTCTCTGTCCCTGTGTCCCTATGTCCCCTCTCTGTCCCTGTGTCCCCCTTTCTATCCTCATCTCCTCCCTCTGTCCCCATGTCCCCTCTCCCTGTCCCTGTGTCTCTGTCTCTGTCCCATCTGCCCCCATGTGCCCC